GTGCACACAGAGCTCTATTTGCTAGTACAAGCAGAGCTTCTGCAACATCTTGAATTTTCATCCCAGCAATTATGTCATGAGTCAAGCTTAAAGAACCAAGGAACTTTGCTGTTTTCCACTGAGAAGTCAATTTTATTCCACAAACACTCTTCTTGGAAAATATTTAAGTACTGTGGTGAACAAAAATAAAAAAATAAAAAACCACCCCAAACCCCCACCAAACCAAAACCCACAGAATTTCAGTATAATTGATACTTTTACCACATGGAAAAGATGAGTTACTAGTCTACCATACACATGCTATAGGACAGGTTAGCCCAATCCAGTATGTGCTTGATGTTGACGTGACCAGACTTTAAGTTTAAATAAATTTGAGTTTCTGGGCTTCATCTTTGACCTTCCAGAAGTACTGGGCCAGCACTCAAGCCTACAAGTATGTTTCCAGTAAGCCACAAGAAAAAAAAGCTATCACTGTGATTCAAGCCCAAAGCTCTAACACCTTCCAGCCAGGACCCATGTTTGCCCATGTCTCAGAATCCAGACTTACATTAACAACTCTTTCACAACTGTATTAGTATGATAAGCTGTATGATGTGAATAAAGTCCAGTGTTGTTTAAAAAATGAAATTAAGTTCAAGAGCTGTATGGCATGTTCACGTGCTCAGAGGCATAAACACTTTTCTGGAGTTGATTTTAGGTTTTGTGTGCCATTAATATTTGGAAAAATCCTAAATTCACTGTTCATGTTTTTCCACTGCAGGTGAATCTCCACAACCTTTCCTGATAAAAGATACTATTTAAATGCTGGTGAAGATGTCTAAGTCTAAGCTAAGACTCCGATATTCTCCAGCTACACAGTGATTTAAAGGCTGAAACATTTTACAGGACAGAAGGTTAGGAACTGTATATACTTAGGGCCAGAGGACAGAAACATACTGATGTTTCAAAGCTGAAAGACGTATCAAGTAGTTTATAGGTTTTTATTTCCTAAATATATATTGAATCAATTAACTGAATCCTCAAGAAGTTCTCAGAGGCAGATTAAACTGTCCACCTAGACAGCAAGGGTAAGATCACATTTTATAATTTATTTCAGAAGTCTAACCTACTATTAAAAAAACTCATAAGATACTTTAAGTTATAGAATAAATAAATTAGATCATTTTATACATTGTTAAAAGGAAAATACAGTTGACAATTTTTCCATGCCTTCCACTATAAAAACTCCTTCCTCCGTGTTGACATAAATAGTAAGACAATAATGGCTTCCTCAGATAATATATCTATTTAATCATTAGAAAAGTAGGTAAAAAGGCCATGTTTTATATAATTAAGACCTGCTGTCCATTTCAATTTTACAAGTAAGTATTTAAGTTTCTAGACAAAAAGAAAAAAAGGTGTCTTGCTACAGTTTATTTTGTACCAGACTGCAGACTCAGTGTCTTCCCAGAAATGAAGCTGGATTCCTCTTGAGAAGAATAGAACCAACATAATTTCTAGTTCAGTTCTCTTCTGTTTTTATTCCTATTGATGAGTAAGACTACAATTCTGTCACAACCTACAAGACTACAATTTTGTCATGAATTAGAAATTCTAATCCAGTGGATTCTCCTTTTCTTAAAGAAAAGTCACGTCACATCACATGGCCAAGTCAAATCAAACCAGTCTCTCTAATTCTTCATTCTCTTAGCATTGTTTAGATGTTGCAGCAAATTAATGTAATGTACCTCAACCAATTATTTTTCTTCCTGTGCAAAGCAGGCAAGTATTGCTGAGCTTAGAACAGCCGCTGCAACCTGATTTGAGAAGCAACTGAAAGAGCAGCCAAGGAGTATAAAATGTCAGCATTAAATCATTGACATGATGTTCTGTGCAAAACCAGTCCGCAACACTCCAAGGGCATCCAGAAAAACAGAAGATGCAATCAAGTTGTGAAAAAGACCCATAAAGAATGAAATGTTTTCAAAGAAAGAGAACAAAACCCCCACATTTTTGCAAAACTAGTATTCCATTTTACACTCTAGGTAATCCTGCTATGAAAAGTCTGTTCAGAAAACAGGGGCGAAAGTTATGAAGATTACCCACAAGAACTGTTTAAAAATTGTCTTGGCTTTAGCCCACTTGTAGACAATAGATATTAATGGCCACTATATTCTACATATTGCAAGAGGTTTTCTGAATACCTGAGGAGAAACCGGAAAGGGAAGTCTGAAACTAAGCCTCTCTAACTGACTCACTGTTTAGATGTCCAACAGAAACAGTCAGGAAGTGCTGGAAACAGTTTAGAAATGTATCATTCCATTAGGAAAAAGAAAACAAAACAGAAAAAGAGTCGCAGCTTTTGTTAGTGACGCCAGAGTATACAACAAAGTTGGGGGACAAGGTTCCTGTTTGGGATCATGGTGATACTTTCATAGGGCACTCGTTTGGTTGAGTTGGCTACATGTGGACAGAGAGAGTTGCCAACATTTTGGTGGTTGTTCCTCCAGCTTTGTCTCTTAAAGTAAGGCTTCATCGGTGCTTAGGGGTCAGGGGAAAGCATTTCACTGTCAAATTCACCAGCTACCTTACAGCAGAACCCCTGGTTTGAAAAATGAGAGCTGCATAGAGAGCTGTTTGAGAGGAAGACCATATATAAGGCTATAGGCCAGTGGCAAGGGTCTTTTCCCACAACAGGACATCAGACAACTTCTGAAACTGCAGGAGTGAATGCCTCTGACTGAAGAACAAGACCAACTTTCACTGCTTGGAGGACAGAAAGTAGGGAAGGGCAAGGGGAACAAAGGGGCAAATGACTTAACTTACTAAAATTTTCATCAGCAGGGAGGGTGTATTAGTGGAAAATAGGTTAGTGAAGAAAGCTATAGGAAAAATTAAAAAGCAAGGTACTAATGCTTTTGTCAATCCAAGTGAGAATTTTTCAGATCTTACAAAGTGTGACCAAACGCTGCCCTTGCAACATGTCCTATCTCTATGTTGAGGAGAATGCACTGGCAAAAAAACCCTGAACTCACGAGCTTCTTCAGCATTGTTTCCAACAAAATGTATTTGAACTTCTCACAGTAGTATCCGCATGCAATAAAAAGCCAAACACCAGTCTAAGGGACCCAAACTCAGTGATGTTCCTTGTCTGCAACATAAGATGACACTGGTAACAGCTTACACGCTTCTTATAATGCTGACTCAGGCATTGTAAGATAGAATGAAGGGTGACAACCTGGTTGTGTTGCCACTTCAGGATCACAATGTGCTTGTTGTAAATGCAAACTATCACTTTCCATCAACAAATGCAAGCCATCAGCTTTTCAGTAGTTAAGTATTTTAAACTTTACATATTAGTATTGATGATAATGATCAACAGATTTCCCCACTTTTTCAATGCTTCTATGCACACTGATATAATAAAAGATCAAATTGGAAGAAAAACAACCTATGTATATATTAGCATTCTTTGTTTCTCACCTCTTCCAGATATTTACTGAATCAGTGTACCAAGAAACGTAGCTTGAGCAACATGAAACAGCAGCAGCTAGAAACAACTAGATTGGCGTATGTTACATTCAATACACCAGTTTTACTGACAAGTAAAAAGTACTGCCAAGTAACTGATAATGGAAAAACAACCCGAAGTGGGCAAGAACCTGCAATCAGCTCTATGAAACTACATTAAACACAAGCCAGCTAAATAAAAAAGTAACTTCTTTAAGCAACCAAACCACCTCTGATGGCTCACATCCCACAATCTACTGATATCATCACATCAGGAATGCCAAAATCTGTCACTGGTAAGTCACAGCTTATTCAAATAAGGCCCTTGCATTGTGACCAGAGAAGGAAGAACAAGAAAAGCTGACTTGACCTCTAGCAGAGCTCTACAGACAGTCCCTGCTTCAACAGGAGGCAGCAAGGAGTCAATCACGAACCAGTCTCCAGTTGTCCTGGCTCTGAGGAGGTCCCCCAGCACTCCAGGGGAGCAGCATGAGCCAGTTTTACCACAGACCCTGCTCACTTTAACTCGTGACACTTCATCCTTTAAAACAGATCTCAAGTAACTCCAGGATAATCAGTGTATTGATGGCTTTCATCATCTTTTGGGAATGACATCCCACAATCTGAAGTTTTCCCTTCCAAAATAAAGCATAAATACACATTGACTGTAGAGAAGGGAAAAAGCACTACTTAGCAAATGCGTACAGCAACACAATAAAATCACATTGCTCACACAGCCTACAATAAACATTTTGATTCCAAAATGCACCAAAACTAACATCAGCAGAAAGAATGCAAAACATCTACTCTCTGAAGGTTCCAGCAGAAAAAAGTACAGATAGCCTTGTGCAGCTGGAGGCTGTTACCTTACAGGATCTAAATCCTTGCAATTGAGGAGAGTAAAACAGCACACTTTGTTTTAGTTCTTCCACAACTGGAAGAATTTAGAAATGTACTACTATTTATAATGTCTATTAACTGAAAGAGCCTTTTCTGTTTTGTTGGGGGCATAAAAAAAATCCAATAAAATTCTATACTAAAAAGTTGTTTTTATAATTACTTCAATGTACCTATCTCCCACTAGAAATCTGCTTTAAAAATAGTTAGGCAATAAGAACTCAAAATATTTCTTTTCACAAAGGATGTATCGTATACAATACTGTATTTATCACTACACTGAGCCTGAAGTGAAGTAAATCAAGTAATGTAACAGTCTTATTTATAAGAAAATCAAGCAAGAGCCGTTCAAAAAGAATACATCAGTGACTGTAAGTCTCCCAATACTGCAAATATTTCATGTGAGAGACAACGGCAGACGAGAAAGCTAGACATAGATTAATTCTTCTGCTGAATGTATACTTTGGAATCATGCATAAGAGATCAAATTGTGTTTCAGCAAGGAATCAAAAGAAACAACTTAAAAAGCTGACACCCAAGCCATGAGAAAAGATGTATGTTCATTTAAGGCAGCCCATTACCAAAGCTATTGAAACAAAATAAACAAGACCCACAGTAACAGCTGGGAGGTCACGAAGCTCCTGTCTTCTTTCTGTCCCAGTGTGCTCATTCTGGTAATGTTCAGACAGATCAGTGGGAGTTACACACACTTTCATACATAGTGGACAGATGAAGCCCTGTGAAATGCATATTTGTTTTTAAGAAAATAATAAAGACAAAAGAAAAGAAAATAATTGGACTCAAATGATGTTCAAATTCTTGGGCTAACAGTTCTCTACAATCACCAGAGGCAAAGTCCGCTTTCCTTTTGGAAAGATCGGTTTTGCAAACCACATGTCAATACCATGAAGAAAGCAAGAAGGAACAGTTATTAAGAACATGACAATAAACAAATCCAAACCACACTTTAAAAGCCAGCACTGTGCTGCATACTACTATATGTTTTCCAGACACTCTTGGTACTCCCTTCACGTGAGAGAGGAATAAGCTGCTTAACAAACTGTGAATGGACCATTGTAAGGAATCATGTCAGATCCATCACGTAGCTTCCCATGAGGGCGTTCACATGCTTCACAGAGAGAGGGCAAGCGTCGTGCAGTGAGATTGCAGAAATACTCCTGTAAATTAATAAGCAATGTGCGGCAGCAGGAGAAGCCTACGAGCCAGCGCAGCCGCAGGCCTGGCTGGCATGCTCACTTTGGGAAAAACAGGCACCTTCCTCAGTAGGATTTAAAAAAAAGAAATCAGCACGCTCACCAGAGATTCACCAAAGCCAAAAGTGAAATCAGTTTCTGAAGAACAACAGCTTTACCTCCTCTAGACACACACGACATGCTTAAACACCTAGAAACAGCAGGGTGGAGAGCGAACTGCCGCGAGTCTCCATCCACGTTGCTGGCTGGAGGATGCCCATGCAGCCCTGGCAGAGTGCTGCAGCCAGAAGAGACTGAACACAGCCCTGCGTGCACACATTGGAAGGTTAAAGCCCCTTCCAAAAAGGATGTCTGTGGCAAGCATGCCTAGCTAACACAGCCACATTACACTAATGAAAGTGTAAACATGCTGGTGGACTTACGGCAAGCACAGAGTATTTAGCAACCCCCTGCGGCAGATGGGGTTGCACTGGGACCTAAACTAAAAAGGACAGGCTCAAACATTTCCTCCTTGGGCAGACTGCACAGTGAATAAAAGATGTATCTAGACTTGATCACAGGTCTACATGTGATCTGAAGTGCTGACGTGGCCACAGACGGGACTAAAACAGATTCTCACCTCTGATTGAGCAAGGAACAGTTTGAATTCAGACTTCTCCATGCCTTTTGTTTCATATTACAACACTCAAAACTCAGGATTGATTTCAAAAAGACTTGAGAAGGTAGGAAACACGAGAATCTGCACAGATTTAATAATTATTTTCCATTTGAATCTTGCAGCAATACAAACCAGAAAGTCTCACCAAGAAACTGGAGTGAAAACAATCAGAGAACCGGGTGGGAGCATAACACTAAAACGGACAGCAAGCATTCTGCAAAGCCTGGCTACGGTGCTCCTGGAGAGAAGTTCTCAGAGAGACAACACCTCAGGCCAGCTGCACAGGAAAAGGAAGAAAAGCCCAAAAGAAAGGCTCAAGTTGCACGCTGGAATGCGTGAGTCTCAGCAGAGTAAGAGCCCATCACCAGCTCCAGAGCTCAGCTTCAGACAGACTTTGAAATTATATGCCAAGGAGAACACCTGATTTGTAAGCAATGCAACAGATGGTGGAATTATTGACAACTAAAAGATACATTTCAGTATCAACCAAAAGTGACACAACAGCCTTCAGTCAGACCCGGTTTTGACTCAGTAGCAAGAAAAGCCAATGGTGCAATAGTGCCCGCACACCACCGCTTTGAAAGCTTGTCCTATGTCAAAAAAATACTACTACATTAGTATTGAGGTACCCTGTGACACCCACCAACTCTACAGTCAGTGATATTGCACTCAGGTTAACAGAACTGTGCAATTTTAGCCAAACTTTGGAAAGAAGCAATTATCTCATTGCACATTTTTAAGCCTTAATTAACTACAAAAGTAACAAGATTTTAGTCTGAAGAATTTAGAATTTAGTTTAAGAGTATGTATTTGCTTCAGGGACAGTGTAAATATGCATACAAAACAGATTTGGACTCACAAACGTGTGACATGTATACAGTGCAGCAAAATATTAAGGAACACCTGATTATACTGACTGTAATAAGGGTTCAAGAAATAAGAAATAAGCAGATGCACAGAGGGAAGGCAATGAGGATTTTAAACAGCACAGTGAAAGTTTCTCTTATCTCTTATCATAGCAGACATAGGAGTATTTGAATCATCATGCACTTTATTCAGTGTAAGAAAGGGCACTTTGCTCCCTTTAATGCTGTAATAGGAGTAATTAACCTTGCACTGCATTTGTATGCTAAGCTTGAAACATTTTCAAGCTAGGTAATCAGGCGACATTAGCACAGACTAGCTTCAACAGCCAGTGGAGTCAGTTTGCATTTTTCAGAGTTAATATTTGACAACACTGTAAATCCAAAGACATTGTAATATGGGATTGAAGCAAGAACAACAACTTATTCTGCTGGTTAAGTATGGCATACAGTACATGAAAAATGGATAGGATTTACAAGTGGTAGATTTATACACCAGCACCAAATAAAAACCAACATGTTTGATATTTCACAAGGAGGAGGAGGTTCCCAGCAGACATTATAGCTTAGCAGAAGCAAGGTGAAAAGGGCATACAAGTGTGATAAAATGTTACGCCTCATTTTTCGGAACTCTCATAAAAAGATTTATTAATGAGGAGCCTTAAACTTATGTCTCATTGCTTTTAATTTTAATAATTCATTGCTGGGATTACAGGAAGGACTGCTTGTGACCATTTAGATAGATAAGCCATATAAATATGGCCCAGCCTTCCTTCCTTTATTTAAATAACAACCAATTTGTAGAAGATGATACTTCTGAGTATTTATTTAGCACAGCTGTTACTTAGGGCAGCAAAAGCTACTCCCAACAGCTTCATGGCTCAGAGGAACAGCCCCCAAGGTTTAAGACTCCAGTCCCATGTATGGTGTACAGTACCTCAGAGGAACCTTCGTTATTCACGTCCACGGCATTTCCTGGTGTGGCAGATGAATCCGAATCCGAGCTCTGAGACCCACCTCTACCTGGAGTCTGAAATAGAGCAGGGGAGAGAGGAAAATGAGTGTCTACAGACTGTACTTAATAAAGCATGGTACGTATCCTTTGCAAAGGCCTCTCTTCTACTTGCTGGAATACAGACAAATTTCCCCTCCACAAGAGTAATGAAGCGAACAAGCTGACAAGCAATTATATAATTTTCAGTGCAACACTTCAACAAAAGCTTTTATCCAAGACTTTCCATGCACCAAAGAACAAGGAGACACCAGAAGCAAAGGCCAGGATTTTAAACTACTTCCCCTCACGAACACTCAACACAAAATAAAGAATTAGGCTAAACTCTGCCCTAATATCACTCACTCTGATGTTAAATTAGGTCTCTGTATCCAACAGAAAAACACTAGAAATTACAATCTAAAAGTTTCAGAAGTAGTAAACTATTATCATACTGCTTTCTTGATAACTTGTCTACAATCCAAACAAACCTTTAAATATTTGAAAGACAGAAAACTTAAGAGTGAGGACCCTGCTGGTACAACAAGCACGCAAGCAGTACACTGCCATGATTTGGAAAAAATAAAATTCATGCCTGTGACAAATTTAAAACATGCTAATCAATAAGAAAACCTATAAAAATAAACTGCTATGAATATGTTGCAAAATCAAAACAACAGTATGGATTTGAAACTACAGATTTAGAGAAAATAAACAAATAAATTTGAAACACTACACGATTCAAAAACTAGATAGATGGATCACAGCTTATAATCCTTATTTAACTATAACTTTGATATAAATTTGATTTAACTTCTCTTACTCATTTCCAGAACGCCCCTGCTTGACCAATGGCTGAAGAGTTAGCATACTCAAAGCAAACATCAGTAAAGAAATTATCTTAATACTGATACACAATCCTAGTTTCAACAAAAAAAGAAATGTTCATTATTCAATTCCATGATGACAAGTGCAAATGGGATGAAGTAATGCTACTGCTGTATTTTAGGCCCATCTGGAAATACTTGTAATGTTATAAAGGATTTTCTAATTTAATATAGGGGGATTAAAAACATAGAATTTTAAATATATAGATGGAAATCTACAGAGAGTGGGACAGAAGCAGATAAATAATTTTAGTTTCTAGATCTTGGTGTCTCCAGAATCTTATTGGTTTTAGAATTTTCTTGCTCAAATATATCCTCTTTTTTTTTCCAGATAAACCAGCTATATAACTTTTTATAAGATACCTGCACCATGGATGTTTTTCCATACTTTGAAAATTAAGTACATTTTCCTGCCTTGTTTTGTAAAGAATGTTGTGTTCCCAGCTGTCATAGAGATAACAGCCTTCTATTACTAAGCAAATAAAAAAAATAGGTAATAAAAACAAGTTTACTGGTTAAGGACTAATTTCCCAGTGAGACACAGTTCAACTTTAGAAAGAAGTCCAAAGACTGGCCAAATGGAAGCGAGGAGGAGCGAAGCAGCAAGGTACTGGGGCTGGTGACAGTAAGTGAAGGAGAAAACCATCTCTCCTCATCCCAGCCTTCTCTGGGGTCATCAGTTAAGTGACTGCTGGTTTTCCTACTCCCCTGTCTTTTTTATTTAGATGTTTTATGTTTCTAAAGAAAGTAAGAACACAGTGTAGTTTCCTTCTAGTACAGTACACAAAAGCAATAGGCAAGGTGACACTAGCTCTCCCAAGTTAATAATAGGAGAGACAAAAAAAGGGGTGTAAGCAAAGAATACGATGCATGTGCAAAGCACATCAAAGTGAAGACATGAGTCTTCACTCCAGGCCACTGCTACAGACAATAAACAAGGCACATCCCAGCATGGACCACGGCTGCAGAAGTTTTCATATGACATCAGTCTGGGAGGACCAGCTGATACACTCCAGGGGCAGGGCTGCTGTTCAGAGGGACCTAGATGGGCTGGAGGAACCGGCCAACGGGAACCTCACACCATTCCACAGGGACAAATGTGGAGTCCTGTGCCTGGGAAGGAAAACCCCTGGCAGCAACACAGGACTCCCTGCTGAAAAGGCTTGTGTCAGACAGCAAGCCAAACTGGAGCCAGCAGCGAGCTTCTCAGTAAGACCTGTAAGTTAGAATATTGCATCTAATGTTATAAAGAGTTTTCTTCAGTTTGTATAGTTCAGAATTTCCCTTCCCTGCAATCCATAAACAACAATCATGCAACCCAGAGGTAAGGCTCCCTTGTGAACCCATTCTGTGCAAGAACAAAGAATCCACAGAAGATGTATATACATATATGCCTACGCAAGGGAAGATATCAGGTGTCAAAGCTTTCTTCCATAAATGAGCTGAACTTTCATGATACAAGAATCACCTTCTTACTGAGAGGAATTTTTGAAAAGCCTTTCAAAATCTGAACATGATTAAAAGGATTTGTATGGCAGATAGCTGTGGTGGCTGTTCTGTTCCAGAAAGCCTGAGAACTTGGACCCCTATCTGTCCCAGCATCTACATCCACAAGTAGAAATGGGGTGTTTTGAAACACAGAGAGTGTCAGCATTAATGGACATGCACTTCTTTACTAATGCCTTAGAAGAAACGGAAGCCTTTTGTTCCACTCTTCAGCTCCAAAAAACAAAGAATGTGGCTTCACGTAGTCATGGACAGAAAGACAGGAGAGGGAGAACCTCAACAGAATTGATAGCCTGGGCAATGGCGGTAAGAGATGGTCCAACCACCTCCTTAGACAGGCAGCATATACCTCCACTTTTGCAATACCTGGGCATATACTTTCTGCATATCTAATGAAACATTTCACCCCAAACCCAAGAATCTTCTGTAGCAATTAACATAGTATTTTCTTCACCTTACATCATAACTGCTGTGCACTGTTAATTGCCCAGAACATTTCACCCCAGAGTTGACTGCATTTCGCAATGAGATTTGCATATTAAGTTCTGCTAGTTCTAGCACTACAAATTGGAGATTATTACAACCTCCAGGATGAAAGCTCTTATATTAAAAGCACGGTGTTATTACTACGTGGTTGATTAAAGTATTTGCTTTATGAAACACTTCAGACACGCTATAATCACACTAAAATGCACCACACGGCACGTCTTACTGTGCACAATATACAAGACAGAAATTATTAAACAGTACCTGCTAAAATCCTTTTAACTTTTCAAAAAACAACGTGCTCTCTTTAAAAGAGAAAGCATAATTCCAAGCTAGATTTAGAAAGCTTAGTACAAATAGGTGGCATTTTTTGGTGAGTGGCATGCACAGGGAAGAAGGGTAGGAAGGAAAGAGGTCATTAAATAACTTTCAAGATCAGGAGCAACATCCCATAGTATCCATTTGCAAAGTAATACAGAGCAGCAAGAAAAATTTGATACAAATTTGGAAGGATGTTATGGAAACTGAGACCATAAATGCCATTAACTTATCTTTCAAGGCTGTAATATAATTTAAACATCCTTCACCAGTGAAATAAAGAACGGGGGATTGGGAATATTTTTTCAATTGATCACTGCATGATCAAATAGGTTCACACACATGTTTAAGCTAGGCTCCCAGACCACTGTTACATCAAGTTCCATTAAAAATAAAAAAATCAACAACTTAGACTTTGTGAACTAAGGAAATATTCAGAATGATGCTCTTCATTTTCAATCGGAATACACAGGGAAGCAAAGGAACTACTTATGAATCCCATAGGAAAAGTAAATTTTCACACAGGCTTCTGTATATCCATTTTTACGAAACTGACATTTGACTCTTAAAGGCATACCTGGAGTTGAAAGACTTGTGTAAAATTAGTCTCTCACCCACCCTATTTCTTTTCTAGTTGTCAGAGTTATACCTGTCTACTTTGCAGAGAAGTATATGGTTCTACTACTAGCACTGGAGTTGTGGAAATAATATGCTAAACTTCATAATGCTGTTCTCTGTGTTTTCTCCAAACTGCAAGCTAATAGAAAGAAACATCATTAACAACAAAAAGGGCGACAACGATTGCAGCTTGTTTTCTGAAAAGCAACAGAAAATTATGTAATGAATGAGTTGAGCTAATGCATTAAAATGAAGGAGTATAAATATGGATCGCTACCATGCCATTTTTGCATAGTCATTTATCTGTCTAGCTACACTCCATTCAGTTATGATACTCTTTTCAGCGTTTTTTAAATTCAGAATAAATTAAACCTTTGAAAAAATCTGTTAAGCCTTGAGAAAGTCTGAACAAATATGGATTTATACAGTTTTCCCAGCACAGATTTAAATACTACAGAAGGGTACTATTGTCCAAACATATCAAGGACCTGAAGCAACAAACAAGAGGCGGGAATGAGAAGATAAGAAGGCCAAAGCCCATGTAATCAAACAACCCTCAGTGCTAGAAATGGAGTAGAGTGCAATACAGAAGAGTAATATTGTTTACTTCTAAAGAAGACTGACACTATTTTAGGACTCTGTAAAATGAAATGATTTCTGACTTCATGGGGCACAAAGCCTTTCTTTCCCCACCGTGCCACGGGTTCCACACACGCAGACTCTGTGCCCAGGAAGAGGCACACGTGCTCCCTTCGACTGCATGGGGAGGGAGGGCACGAGCACAGCTGCAGCTCAGCATCCATCCCAGTACACACGCTATCTAGAGAGCCCTGCAATTACAAATGTAAAAAGAAAATTATAGGTAAGGCATGAGATGCAACGCATCCCAGACAAGCAAATACCTCTGCTTCTGAGCCTGGAGTGAGAGAAAAGGTGACTGTACTACCCGAGCTACAGAAATGCCTGCAAAGCCCTGCTCTCCACCTAGACCTCAAGATCTCCAGACCAAGAGCTCAAGCGCTTTTAGAAACAGAGCAATAGGATCGTAGCACCCAAACTACAATTAACAGTTGTAGACACTCACACAAAACGAATGAAGACAAAAACTAATGTAAACAGTAGTCACACCAGCCAAACAGACCATTCCTTCCCTACAAAACATGAGTGATGGGAAGAAGGCTCAGAAGGTCAAAGTAATCAGTTTTCCACCAGCTGAAAATAAATGCCTCCTCCTTACAAGTGGGGGTTTTTTGTTCCTAAGTTTTGGTGTCTTGAAAATGTAAGAAATGAGCTCTGCTTTAGCAGACCAGAGGCAACAGCCACTGTCCCACCAGCAGATGAACAACTGAGTGGGGACACTATGGCCACAAAGAGCATTCAGAGTTGAACATAATAAAGAAAAGAGAGGTCTCTACAGAATACGCATATGTAGGGCTGACAAAAATCAAAATATCTGGGCAGGAAAGTTGTGTGTCAGACATTCCACACAGATGTCTTTTGGGAAGAACTACCTTTTTCTAGATCAGCATAAAAAACAAAGAATGAAACTGAAAAGTGGCAAGAATGAATGAAAGGGGTTTTTACAGTGCAAATGTACAGAACAGATGGATCCCTGAGATGTCATATTGAAAATACACGTAAAATTTAGGAACAGCTTGCAGAGAAAGGACCTAAAACGAGGACCTACTTGAAGACAGCATGCAGATACTAACTTCAAAAACTAAATGAGGGATGTTCAGTGGGAATGAGTATATAATAACTTCTATTTTGAAAACACACCATTCAAAGTCACTAAGAAGATGCTTTTAAAAACAGAAATTACAACTGTGGAAAAAATAAAAAGGTGATCAGAGAACAGAAGAAGTATAAAAAAATAAATATCTGATGTTTTAAAACTTTGGGTACCAGAATTCCCAATAAGTGACTGAAACTATAAGCTGTATCTTTGTAGTTATTGTCTTCCTCCCTTGCAGCTTTACGGCCAGATAAATTTATAAAAAAAAAGAAAAAAAGGAATGTAATCATGAATTCCTATCTTTTTAAACACACTTTCATAACTCAAGTTATATCCCTACTAACGACTAGCCACCTGGCTAGAAAGGATGGCATCACCTATAATCAAAGAATAAAGCCAATACAGATACAAGAAATTAAATTTCAGTGACTGGAAGGTGATTTTTTGCCATCTACATTAATGCTGCACAAGAAAAGGGTGTTTGACCTTCAAATTACTGCCTCAGAGACATGAAAGATTTTAAGAACAGATTTGACAGCAAGCTAAGACTCACTTTTAATACCAAAGTACATCAGAAGTCTTCTTCATACTTTGCTAATCACAGACTGTAAATCAAAAAAGTATGTATGGGGCTGTGTGTACAATCACTACATTTTATAAAAGGCCTAAAGCCCTTTCAGTAAGAGGTGGACTTCTAAAAGCATAGTTTTTTGCACCAACCAAAAGCTTAACACCTTTAAAATTCTTGGTATTTCTCTGTTTATTTTTTAGACAGGAAGAAGTCTGTTCCACCTTTGTTGGCAATTAGCTCTGCTGCAAGCCTGTAATTTTGGGAAGCCACTGGGGAATAGTTATTTGTTCATACTTTTCAGAGAAGATGGCAAGTTTCTAACACACACAAACTTTTGCACTGACTTGAAATTTTTATAGGAAGTCTTTAGCTGTACTTATACTTGGGAGCAAATTTCCTTTGGCACCGTATCAAGCTCTTTCCTACATCACAGAAGCTCTCCTTGATGGCCTGTTATTTCTCAGAATCAATAAACACCCAGTTAAATGCTGCCAATATTTAATTAGACCCGTACTAAGTTTCCCTGCTTGCTAGCAGGGCTTCCCATCCAACTTCAGGAAGGAAGTTCTTCCCTGTAAACACCAAGCTCCAAATAGACCAAGAGTGATCTTCACCTGCTCGGGGTCTATGACTGAAACACGATTTGAGGCGCGCTTTATGCCAAAAAATGTGGTGGTATGCGTACTGATGGACTTTCTTCCCCTCTAGTTAACTCTCATTCTTGTGGCAACGCTTCCTCGCATGGCAGAAAAGTAAAGGATGCCAGCCTTTTCAATGAAAGGCCCTTTCTCAGAGGCGTCAGGCAGACAGCACGCGTCGAAAGGCACTCGGGGTAGGCAGAAGGCAGAGGGCAGCCGGTGTCCCTCTATCCGTGAGCGCCTTCTGCACGACACCGACCCCGCTCTCCTGCCGTGTGGGATCTGGAGCGGGACGTGGAGCTCTGCCTTCCCACCGCCGCCGTGACTCAACCCTTTTGGGTGCATCCTCCAGCCCAGCGCCGGCGACGAAGGACGGACCCCCCAGGCCCTGGGCCACCCCAACACCTGCCCTTGGCCAGCACCTCCCCGAGAGCTTCTAGCCCGGCCACCAGCGGGCTGCAAGCCGGCTGGCACCGCCACGGGGCCAGGCCGGGATTTGGGGAGGGGAGAAGGGTTTCATAAACGAGTGTCACAACTTGGCTGTTCCAACCAGGCAGAGCTGCCGGAAAAGCCGGTTCCTGACACACAGAGACAGCAGGCTGCCGGGCTGACTGCCGGCGCCAGGAGCCCGCAGGCCCCCGGGGCGACAACCCCCGGTCCCCGCGGCGGCTCTGCCCAGGCCGGGCTCCCCTTCGGCCGCCCCCCGCCGCGGCGACGAGGGAAGGCGGCGGGCGGAGACACCTCCGCGCTGCGGGAAGGAGCCACGCCGGGGCAGGGCCGGCCCCTCGCCCCACCG